CACACGCGCTCGCAGTCACACACACAGTCACACACACACAGTCACACGCGCTCGCAGTCACACACACACACACACACACAGTCGCGCTCGCAATCACACACACACGCACGCGCGCGCGCGAGTGTGTTCGAGTTCGCGAGTGTGAATTTCTAAGTGTTTTTGGACAAAAATAAGTATTTTGTCAATTGGGAGGGCGGCGCGGTTTTTTGAGCAAGATTAGACCATCTCCAAGGCGGAAAGTTTGAAATGTATGATATTTTCTTCAAAGGTCAGCGAAACTGAACTGTTCGAAGCGTGGCGCCAAAATTAAACTAATGGACATGTATTCGCTATGACACTGTCTAAAAGAAATAGATTTACTTTGTAGAGATAATTCCGGCCGATATTTAGCAATATGCAGCCGCAGACGCTTGATACTTGACTGCGACTCCCACATGTCCGATTTTTTAAACGACTCTTTAAACACTCCCAATACCTGTTTCACAAAGTGAAAATTTCAGCTAAATTGGTCGAGTAGGTTTTTTATGAGAGACAAACGCTCATGCTCTTTAATTTATATATAAAGAACTATTTATTCAATAATATTTTATTTCATCTTAGCTTAGTAATTATGTCAGTTTGAAAGTTATTTCAAGGTAACTTTCTTATTTGTCTAAATATTTCATTTATCTTCTTTATCAGATATTTCACTTTGTTAATTTGAAATTTCAAATATTGTTCCTTTGTAATTCTGTAATTTCTTTTCATAATTTGTTCTTCCTTTTGTTTAATTTCTTCACAAAATAAACTTTTCTGTTATACAAATTGTATTGCAAATTTTTTTCTAATTTTTGTGACACGCAATGTGGCCAAAAAAATTTTTATGCTGAATTGAGCATATGTGACAAAACTTTGCCTTGTAATTACTTTTATAATGATGCTCATGTCATAAACCCTGCAAGATTTTCTACGTACGTGGGATTTAAACCTATGCCCTCTCTCTGCCTTGTGCTGCTTGGGGCTACGTTGGGCAGTTGTAGTTTCGTGGGCCCAATATAGTAGGTGCTAGTGGCATTGGGCAACCAGCAACTGCTACATTGGGCTGCTGGTTACTTTAGATATAGATTTCATGTATATTTGACATTGAAAATGATCCCTGAATTAATATAGAATATATATAATTAAAGATTAAATATGGTATAGTTGTGGTTATTTCATAGAAGGAATTTGATTCATTGTAAAGGAGTTTATCCTAAATTGTTAAAATATACATGAATAATGATATTGTTTTAAATGGTGATAATTAAATTTCTGATTACTTGCTAAAAATTTGTTTAGAATGATTTATATGTATTTAATTCTGCACGGAAGGAATGTGTGTGTGTGTGTGTGTGTGTGTGTGTAATATCATAAAATGTTATGGAGATTTGTGATTTGAATTTCACTTACTCTTTGATTGAATCAGTTGGACTGATTATCTTTTCTGTTTTGAAACAATTGAAATTCACAAGCGCAATCTGTTTTTGAAGATTGTGACTGTACAATAATTTCGAATAAAATATTTCCATGTCCATAGATTTTAGTTTACACTGAAATCGTATTCTTTTAAACAGTTTCAATGATATATTTTGCCTCATGTAAGTTCTGAATTTACTGTCTTTTTCAGGAGTGGTATGACAGGCTTTTTTAAAACAAATTGTTCCAGAAATCAATGGTGCAGAATTGTTAATCTTTCAAATGTGATGAATAGATACATGTTTTTCTGGTAATGTGTTTTTACCCTGATGATATACAAGTATCAGTTTTAGAAAAGTGTTGTACTTTCCAATTCATTTTTGAAATATTTACATATATGGTAGAAACTTTATATGAATGCACAAGTTAATATTCAATATTGAGAATGAATGGTGTTGGTGGGAAAATAAACTGATACTAAAGACTTCAAAGTTGCAGTTATGCATTTCTTTCCCATGACTATTGGGTCTGTGAAAGTCTTTGCACAAATTGTGCCATTTTATGTGGGTAGTCTGTGTTTTTAAAGTACAATACCTTTAAACTTGTGAAATTTTGACATTAAATACTTCTGAATTTTAAAATAAACAGTTATTAGTAAATATAAAGAGATCAATATATCCTAAAATGTAAAGATGCAAATAGGTGTATTTATATCCATAAGGCTAAAAAGTATATTTTTACCATTTTAGTTGATAAGTATTGAATGTTGAGCATTTCAGGAAAGTGTTCATCGTGAACCCATTGAATACATAATAGAAGATAATCTATCTGTCCTTGAACCAATATCAGTCCATTTGGTTTATAAAATACGCCATGTGTGCTGCTAGGGCAGTTAAAGAAAGAATTTGTTCTTTAGTTTAGTACAAGTTACATGTGCCATTTATGGAATTGTATTTATTGATAAATATGTTATTGTGATAGATTATATTTCATAGTGCAGTCTCTGTTTTTTGTAATAGATGCCTATATATTGAATATTAATTTAAAAATTAAGAACATAATTTAGCCAAAAGTTAACTAAATAGAATTGCTTATAATTACATGTAAGTTTTATAAAGAAGTGTCGAATTTCATACCAGTATCATATTGTCCATAGACACAGTGACTGTTTTGAAAACAGTATGTCGTCAAAAACTATTCGATGATATGTTCAAAATTTAAGTGAATGGAAATGAAAAGAATTGTTGTTATGTAGATATTTATTATTCAGAATAATTCATATCTACAAGGTGGAATTTCTGTGGTTTATCAAAAGACTAGTCACTATATTGTTGTTGATACAATAGATGCATTTGCATGTTATTTGCTCATAGCGTTATTAGGAATTTGTGTATTTTGTAATATTATGTTTGTATTTAAATTATGTTTTTTTGTAAAAAATAAAATAAAGTAAAATCTTCCATCCCATGAAAGTTTTATTATTATGGAAGGTAGTTTGTGTTGTGATTTAATGACCAAGGAAAGAAACATGGCGTTGCTAGGAAATTGTACAGAGAATTGTACAGATAGATTTATTTTATGTGATCAGTACATATTATTTTTACATCATATTCAATCGGTTGGTCAATAAATGTCCTTAAAAAATGTTAACCGTGGGGAATCTTACAGCCAAATTCATTGAAAAATATGAATTGGGAGACCTATCTGTATCATACATTAAAAAAAGTCCTTTTGGTCTTCTATACATATTCACAAATAAATATGTGAATATTATAGCTCAAAAATAGTATATTAGAGTTTATTGCACTTAGTTATACTTCAGGAAATAGGTTTTGGTTGTTAAGTGTTAATAGAGAATTTTGAATTACAGTCTCTTTCTTCCTTATTTAATATTCATATAAAACTTCAGTATTTCAAATAGTAAGTTTTGGCACATTCATTACACATTAATATAAAAAAGGTTTGCATTCAAGTAGTGAACATGATAGGAATTGGAGGAAAGTACTCTAGCTTAATGAAGATTAAAATCAAATCCTTATCAAACTAGAGTTTCCATTATCATGTTCATGAACGCGTTTAAGTACAGAAATGTCCATATCATACAAAAGATGAGTTATTTCAATTGAGCTGTTACATTTATCACTCGGCCAGGCTTTGTAGTTTTGACCTTTGAATAGACATAACCTGTTACTGCCACAATGCATACCAGCAGAGTCAGTGCACCAATGATGTTGAGTGTTGAGAACACATGGAAGTATGAACTTGCTGGGAGAGTGTGATTCTCTTCATGGGCTAGGGATTGTTCATTAATATTTCCTGCTACTGCAGCTCTCTTCACAAGGCCATGGTTTCTGCGATCATTTTCAGTTCCCACCATGAGCCCTCGAACTCCTAAACGTATAGACACCACTTGCTGCTCTTGGATGGACCGTTTCTCTATTCTGTGATGCTCAGCTATTTCAATTGATGGTATTACTTCTACTTCTACACCTTCAGATCCATCACTGCGATAAAATCTGCGACGGTTGGTAGGCTTCCTTGGCTCATAGAGATCTGAAAATTGTAGACATTGGGGAGAATGAAATTTAAAGAATATATGAAGGGGTAGTGAGAGAATCGTAAGCCATACTAATGTAGTTCTGATTAATTAAGAGAAAATTATTTAAAAGTTTATAGGAGAGACACATGAATCAATGCAAGGGTAAGGAAATTAGTCAGATGTGTCGGTATTTGTGGGCACCAAGCATTAGTGTAGGCTCTGAATATTTTTAATTTTAAATTAGAAAAAAGGATTAACATAAAGCGAAATAGTGAGATATTAAACACTTGTCATGTGTAAAATGAAACAATTTTGAATTTTCAAACCAGAAAATGAATCTTTTAGAAGTTTCAAACACTGCTGGTTGGGAAACAAGCTTCATTGATTGAAAATATTGAAATAAAAGTTTTAAACATAAAACATTTTGTAAATAGTTAAATGAAAATAACCATGGTATGTGATTATAGGGAAAAGTATGTTGTAAATCACCCAATACCTGTGTTGGACTTGCCTTAATTTCAATGCAAAGACTAAATATAAAATTACAATATTTGTATTATTTGTATATTAAAAGAATACTTCAATCTATCATGTAAATGGAGTAAAAACAACGATTTTTAATCAAATTCTTACATAATATTGATAAAGTATTGTAATGCTGCAGCCGGAAGCTGCGCTTTTTCGACAGAAAAACTTGTGTTGCGGTTTCTTGACAACGAAAAAAAGCCATTAATTTTTGCCACTACTTTCAGTAAATAACTGCTATTGTGTGGTCACGTTTTGTGGGTCCTTGATTCCGAAAATATGATTTACAGGGAAACGCCTGTACGCCCATCTGTGTGTGAACAGCAGCTGATAAACCGTAAGGGATTTTTACCAAAATTTTAATTTCCCCAATCGATCTTGCTGATGCTGCGGCCCCTTGAATTTGGAACGGGTGTTTTGATTTTTGAGTGAACTTACCACGAAGCTCCAACGGGTACGTTTTTATTTTTACTCGAAGAGGAGGGATTGATTGAATTTACTATTTACATAGAACTTACTATTTAAAACGAAGCAATGGCTTTACGGGTTGCTACTTACAAGAGTGGAAGGCATGATAGCGCGGGTCCTTGTCGCCGTGGAAGTCGTCGCGAGATTGTCCAGGTGCAGGCTGGGTAGTGCGGCGACCCTCCGCCAAATACACTTCGTTGTCGCCGGCCGGTTGGCCCTCCGGGTTGTAGCAACTTGGGTCGCGTGATCCCGGGAAGCACTTAGGCGGTCGCACGGGCCGCTCATGAATCGTGGTGCCGTCCCCGGTGCCGGGCTGCTCGGGCGGCAGATACGTGTTGGGGCTCGACGTGGTGGGCTGGTGACAGCGGTGGTCGGACGAGCCTGGGTAGCAGTTGGGCGGGCAACGCGGGTCTATGTTGCCGGGATAGCAGATGGGCGGGCCAGTTGGGTTCGGGGTAGACGTTGGTGGGCAGCGTGGGTCGGTACTGCCCGGGTAGCATTGCGGCGACTGCGTCAGGCAGTCACACACGGGAGGATACTGGGTTGGAGGCGGCGTGGGAGGCGGACATCGGGGATCACGCGACCCGGGGTAGCAATTTGGAGGTGGTTGCGTGGTTGGGGGTGGCGGTCTGGTTGAAGGACATCGGGGATCGCGAGAGCCGGGAAAGCAATTTGGCGGCGGCTGCGTTGTGGGCGGTGGTGGAGGGCATCGGGGATCTCTGGAACCGGGGTAGCAATTTGGAGGTGGTTGCGTGGGTGGGGGTGGCGGTCTGGTCGAAGGGCATCGGGGATCGCGAGAACCGGGGAAGCAATTTGGTGGCGGCTGCGTGGTTGGTGGTGGTGGAGGGCATCGGGGATCCCGAGAACCGGGGAAGCAATTTGGTGGAGGTTGTGTGGGAGGCCTCGTTGGAGGTCGTGTGGGTGGTCTTGTATCGGGTGGTAAATAAGTAGGACCAGGTGTGGAAGAACCGGGTGGCCTCGGGCATCTTGGATCCGGAGACCCAGGGTAACAGACAGGTGGTTGTGTTGTAGTTGGTGGTGGCCTAGTCGTAGGTGATGGAGGTGGCCTAGTTTGAGGGCATCGTGGATCCGTTGATCCGGGATAACATCTTGGTGGAGGTGGAGTGGTAGGAGGGGGTCTGGTGGTAGGAGGTGGTGGAGGTGGTCTGGTTTGAGGACATCGTGGATCCGTTGATCCTGGATAACATCTTGGTGGAGGTGGAGTGGTAGGAGGAGGTCTGGTCGTTGGAGGGGGTGGAGGTGGCCTGGTTTGAGGGCACCTAGGATCCGTTGATCCTGGATAGCATCTTGGTGGAGGTGGTCTGGTCGTTGGAGGCGGCGGAGGCGGCCTGGTTTGAGGGCATCGTGGATCCGTTGATCCTGGATAACATCTTGGTGGTGGTTGTGTTGTCACAGGAGGAAGATATGTTGCCGGAGGACGGGTTGTTTGAGGACATCTGGGATCTGTGGATCCTGGATAACATCTGGGTGGAGCAGGGGTGGTGGGTGGCGTTGGTGGTCTAGTTTGAGGACATCGTGGGTCTGTCGATCCTGGGTAACATCTAGGTGGAGCTGGTGTAGTTGGCGGCGGTGGAGGTGGTCTAGTTTGAGGACATCTGGGATCTGTGGATCCTGGATAACATCTGGGTGGAGCCGGCGTAGTTGGTGGTGTTGGTGGTCTAGTTTGAGGACATCGTGGGTCTGTCGATCCTGGGTAACATCTAGGAGGAGCTGGTGTAGTTGGCGGCGGAGGAGGTGGTCTAGTTTGAGGACATCTTGGGTCTGTCGATCCAGGATAACATCTAGGAGGAGCTGGTGTAGTTGGCGGAGGTGGAGGTGGTCTAGTCTGAGGACATCTTGGGTCTGTCGAACCTGGATAACATCTAGGAGGAGCTGGTGTAGTAGTTGGAGGAGGTGGCCTAGTCTGAGGACATCTGGGGTCTGTAGAACCAGGGAAGCACCTCGGAGGAGGTTGAGTAGTCACCGGAGGAAGGTACGTTGCTGGGGGACGGGTAGTTGTCTGTGGACATCTGGGGTCTGTTGACCCAGGATAGCAACGGGGTGGAGGTGGGGTTGTTGGTGGTGGGGGTGGGGGTCTAGTTTGTGGACACCTGGGGTCTGTTGACCCAGGATAG